CTTATGACAAATCTTGAGACATTTTATCATAGACATCCAGATGGCAGGATGGTGTGAGCAGTATACTGAGATAAAATCAGAATATTCAACAATCCAATGTAAGCACATGGTTCTGGTTTCTTGGAAAAACACAACACAAGTGCAAAGACAAAAGAGGAATTTCAGTTGTGCAAAAGTCTCAATCAGACATGTTGTACAGTTATGCATCATCGAAGTACCGGAGAAATTATAATAACTTAATACATCACATACCATAAAGGCCCTTTCACATAGAATTTTTAAATAATACGGTCGTCTTTTCCAAGTCCCTGTTAGTGAATGATTTAATAATTGATCAACAGATTGATTTACTCCACTGTTACCTTCTTCTGTGTCCAGAGCAACTGGACACAGAAGAAGGTAACTACTCCCAAGATAATCGACCTCTGTGGGAGAATGCTACTCCCACAGAGGTCGATTATCTTGTTAATATTTTTACATCTTCACTTAATACAACTGGATACTGTTGCTCCTCTGAAAGAGAGATAAAGCAGATAACACGTAAGCTAGAGAGGAAATGGTGTCTCAGTAATTGAGAAGATCATCATTTAGCCTGGAGAAATAGTTTGCTCCTTCATATTCAATCCCTCCATAAAGCTGGAACATCTTATTATTCATCACTGATTGAAGAAAATAAGAACAACCCTAGGTTTGTATTCAGCACTTTAGCCAGGCTGACAAACAGTCACAGCTCTGTTGGGCCTTTAATGTTGACTAGTAATGACGTGATGAACTTCTTCACAAATGAAATTTGAACCATTAGAGAAAAAATAAGCATCTCAAATGGACCATTATGTACAGCTACTTCCAGTGCCATTGATATTTACAGATTGATCTTTCTGACTTAAGTAATTACTTCCTCCAAACCATCTGTTATCTCAAAACTCCTTGAAAGAGTAGTTGTCAAACAGCTAACAGATCATCTGCAGAGGAATGGTTTATTTGAAGAGTTTCAGTCAGGTTTCAGAGCTCATCACAGCACAGAAACAGCTTTATTGAAGGTTACAAATAATCTTCTAATGGCCTCTGACAGTGGACTCATCTCTGTGCTTGTCCAATAGCATTCAGTGCTACTGATCATAACATTTTATTACAGCGATTAGAGCATGCTGTAGGTATTCAAACCACTGCACTGTTGTCATGATCTGTGAGTGCAGCTCGTGTCTTGAAGACACACGTGAATGTGGGACCAATCTTAACAAATGATCTGTATTTTCTTAACAGATCACGTCTCTGTCAGACTGCAGGCTTACTTGGGGTTTCTAGCGTATTTAAAATCTGAATGGAAGGAAGAGGCTTCCAGTTCCCTGTTTGGATTTATATAGATAGAGAGACACTCTCTATATTTTTAAAATTAGGCTTAAAACTTTTGGTAAAGCTTATAGTTACGGGTGGACCGGTTAACGCTAAACCACCACTTAGTTATGCTGCAAGAACACTTATCCATGAGTTAGCTTAGCTACTTTGGGCTACACTCTAGGTCTCGTAGGATGAGACATGGAGTACTTCTTAAAAAGTTCACCACTTCATCACAAGGCTGACATAAAGAGACAGAAAGCTATTTACTCTCATATTGACAGCCTAATTTAGATTGCCAGTTATCTTTAGAAGCAGATGGTAGAATGAACGAACTCCACAGAAAGTTTCCAGTCAAAGAAAAAGCTGAACCCAGAACCAGAATCATGCAGTAAGACCCAGATCTTATGGCAACTTCCGAATGTCCTTGTTCCTACAGAGGCAGCTACACCAAGAATTTCTGGTAAAATTCCCATCATACTTACCATAAAAAACAGAAACGAGACATTCTTTGTACCGGGCTTTAAACAAGCTTTTTAATGATGTAATGACGCCAATTCATTTGTGCAGGATTTCTGCATTGGCGTCATCTGTCAGTTTTGTAGGGTCATGCATGGTCTTGACTTAGGTTGAGGGTTGAAATCCTACAATTATAGATAGGGAACAGTATGATTTGGCATTTTTCACAGAATGAAAACTTTCCCCTAATATCGAAATCGCTTTAGAAAGAGATTTCCCAATGGCCACTATGTGCCTTTTTTAAATTTCTTCTTTAAACCATGTAATTTTGTTTGTTTGTGTGTGTGTGTGTGTGTGTGTAGATGTGTCATGTGCTGCAGTACCTGTGTGACTGTCAGGTGCGCCATCGTATTGAGGCAGTGGTGGCCTTCTCTGATGACTTTGTGGCTTGTCTCCAAGAAAACCAACGATTTCGTTACAATGAGGTGATGCTGGCACTCAACATGTCTGCAGCCCTTACTGCCAAGAAGACCAAAGAGTTCAGATCCCCCCCACAGGAACAGGTGGGAACACCACAGAACAACATAAAGCATAAATATAACTGTAACCAGATCTAGAGGAGCGCTTCAACTTGCTTTTAATCTTATTGCACAGACATTTTCTGTAATTCAAATGGTTGCCTAGTAGAGGACTTTTGCTCAGTGAAGTAAATAATGCGACGTACATACACATTTTATTTTAATTTGGCTTTGTATAGAAACACAGTTTTTGCAAACTGTCAGCTAATCAGCCAAGGTTGAGGGTGAACCCATAGTGAAACCAGGCCCCACCCTATCATGTGATATACTGAGGTCAGAAGGCAGTGAGTGGGCGTTAAGGCGTCTGGGAAGGGATCTCAACACTGGACTATTGATGGCACAGCTGGTGTCATAAGCCCCGTCTCTGTTCAAAGATGGCCGTTCACAGTAGACATAGATGCTTCTTTCAGTCCTCTTTAAAACCATCTGTCTTCTCTGTCCAGCATGTGGACATTGGCATCCTCGAAAGAGTGACCTTTGACCTTTAGATGCAGATGAACAGCCAAGTGTTGTCCCGTTGAGCCAAGTCTTGTTGTGCCATATGTTTATGTCAGTGGCTGTTTGGTCTCTCGAATGTAGAGGTCTGGGCGTTCCTCGCTACACTGTACAGCATGCACTACGTTGTTAAGTTTGTGTTTAGGAGTTTTGTCTTTGGGATGAAGTGTGTGGCTGGGTCTGAAGTATACTCTTGGCTCTTTTAAAGGGATAGTATTAGCTATTGGTAGAGATATGTTGACGACACCTGGGTCAAAATCAAAATCCAAAAAGTGGAATCCTTCATTGCTCACATCAACTCAGTGATTAAAAACATCAAGTTCACCAGGGAAGACACAAAGGACGACTGTTTGCCTTTCCTGACTGCGCCGTGCGCATTAAGGAGAATGAAAACCTCAACATTGAAGTTTACCGGAAGCCCACACGGACCAGTACCTCCTCTTTGACTCCCATCACCCTCTGAAACACAAACCTGGAGTAATTAGGACCCTACACCACCGGGCAGAACATGTTCCCTCCAAGCCTGAAGGGAAAAAGAAGGAACACACACATGTAAAGGAAGCTCTTAAAACATGTGGTTATCATAATTGGGCTTTCATCAAGTCAGCAAAGATGCACAGGAAACAAGATCAGACACCAGCGAGGGAGGATCAGAAAGACAAACAGAACAACTTTGCACCTCTTATTTAGCAGGTTTGTAAGAGAAACAGGAGGATTTTCTCCAAAAGTCACATCCCACTTTACTTCAGACACCTCTACATCGGAGAAACCAAACAGCCACTCCAAAAATGCATGGCATAGCATAGAAGGGCCACCTCAACAGGACAAGACTTGGCTGTACATCTACACCTAAAAGATAAAGGTCAATCTTTCATGCATGCCAGCATTCACATCTTGATCCGAGAAAACAGATGGTTTATAGGAGCAAAAGAGGACGTCTAGGTCAACTGTGCTTACGACACCAACTGTCAGCGACCCCCCAGCAACCCCTCCCAGGTACCTCAGACCCCACTTACATCTTGTGTCAAGTGACTTCATTAGGTCATATGAGGTAAGGCAAGGTCTCACAATGGTTTCAGCCAAAGCCTCTGGTGATAGTGATCCACAACTTTTTTCCACATGTGATGATTCACATGTTGGAGTGAAACCACTGGGAGGCGTTGCCCCACGCCACTGTCCCACTGGGTTTAAATATTACTGTTTTAAAAACCTGGGACTCTCTTGGTTTTAGAACTGAAGAAGCCTCTTGTATGAGAGGTGAAATGTTTTCAAAGGTTTTATAGTCCAGTCACCTTCTTTTAAAGCTCTTAAGAGTACCATGACTTGGATCACTGAGAAGCTAAACAGACATCTTGTAGAGACACTTTTACCAGCAATAACCTAAAAGGACCATTTTCTCTTGCATCGTTGGTCCACTGATCTTTACAGTGTTTCTTCTGCTCATTGAGGTCTCCAGGCTTTCATTTGTGCAAAGTACAGAAAGGTCCTGCCAAAAGCACAACATGTATGATTTCAGTAAAGCTTTCAGCTTTCACACCATCTCGTAACTTGTAACTAAACATGTGTATGTACTTTGGATTTCTATATTGAAAATCTAATGGTCGCTTTAAAGGTTCTCTTACCAATCTGCAGATCAACATGCTGTTAAACTTTAAGGATGAGAAGCAGGAGTGTCCCTGTGCTGAATACATCCGAGAACAGCTGCTAGACTTCCATGAAGATCTGATGAGGCACTGTGGTCAGTTTCACAACACACTGCTGCATTAACTACAGTTGCCAGAATAAGATCAATAGCCATCATTTAATAAATATAACAGTAATGTGTGTATAGTCAGCATTCATTAATTGTAGACATACCATACATGCATTGATCTGCCCATTTTGCTAGGTATAGAGTTGGACGAGGACAGAGGCATAAACTGTGACAGTGACTTCACCATACGAGGTCGACTCATGTCACTGGTGGAGAAAGTGGCTTATCTAAAGAAGAAGATGGCCAACCTGCCACAGGAAAAAAAAGACAGGAAACCCAGTAAGGCCATTCTTAAATGAGCTGCTAGTAATTCTCAGTGAATAGGAAAACGTACAAGCCTACACTGTTCCAAAAAATAGTAACGTCAAAGTATCTTACTGTATATTTACAGTTTTGTCTTTCTAGAATATCATTAAATTTACATAAGTAGACTGTGATTTTACATGTCAAAGGTAAAATAACATAACATCACTGTAAATATAATAAAACACAATTTACTTGTTTTGTAAATATATGTTTTTTGTACATATACATATTCAGATTGTAAAAATACATTCAGAAATGTATCATCATTTCACAAATATTTGTCTGTTATGTGAGAGGATGATCTGTTAAATTCAAATGTAATACTATGGAAAAATATATAAAATGATCGAAAATTAATGAGAATAATCAATAATTAAAGGAGTATTTGAATTATAATTTTGCTGAAAATCTCATGTCATCTAGGTCTGATTCAATAATTCAGAGGTAATTAGTTGTTTCACAAATATCTGTCCGTTATTTGAAAGATTGAGTTGTTGAATTCAAATGTAATGCTATGGATTTGATTTGACTTGATATACCTTTATTAGTCCCACAAGGGGAAATTTCATGAGGCTGCCGACCTATTGCACGGAATGGCGGCGCCATCTTACCCTCCAACCATACATACATGACACAAACATCACATGGGGAAGACAGGTCAGAGAGGTATAACAATGGAAAATGCACAACACAGGAAAGATAAGGAGAAAAATAACTCCCCCCAGACTGAGCTCCAACAGGGAGATCAGTTTGAGAACAGATAAAAACACCTCTGCACATGAAAACAACTCTTAATACACCAAAGAAACACATGACAAGCAACAGGGGTGGGTAAAGGGTGAGAGACAGCCAGTTTAGATAGCACATCCAGGCCAAGAGTTAGCAGTTTGCCTTGTGATCAGAAGGTCGCGGGTTCGAGCCCCGGCTCGGACACTCTCGGTATTGTGTATGTGGTCAAGACTATTCACCTACTGGTGATGGGCAGAGGGGCCGATGGTGCGATATGGCAGCCTCGCCTCTGTCAGTCTGTCCCAGGGTGTGCAATCCATTATTATTTAAACCAACTGTTAACTGTATATTTCTGTACATTTACGTATTATGATTTATATTGCCACATTCAGTGACCTTGTTTATAGGTAATTTCATTGTTTGATCACGTTAAAATGTTCCTAATTTAATGTCTAAAAGCACTTGGAAAAGGCAGAATCCCA